GAGCTTAGTTTTAACAGTCCTACTCAGAAAAGCCCTAGATGAAAGTTGTCTTAGCTTGGCTGACTTCAGAGGAAAGCTGCAATGTTTCCTCATGACAGTAAGGAATATCTGTTGGTTTGCTCTCAGTTTTCACTCTGAGTTGACATCTAGAAATTGAATGTTAATAAATGAAAGTTTGGGAGATGAAAATGTTCTTACAGAGCAGATGCTGTGTTAGACTTCCCATATTTTTTTGTCTCTTGATGGGTGAAGGAAACTAAATCCTAAAAAAATAACTTTAGATGAAACCTTTTTCAATTGATTTAGGGCATTGTTTCCTCTTGCTAATAGAGCTATTTTGTGTTGTATGTTTTTAGTTTTGAAGGAAAGGGACCTATTATACATTTACTTTATAAAGAATCTGATGATTTGCATGTTAAGATGTAAGAAATGATTGAAAGTGAAGGCAGACAATCATTCAGTAATTGGTAAAAAGGAGTGCTTCAGGAAAGTTACTCTTAACTGTACAAAGGCTCAGTTGCAGGCTTCTTAAAGCCATTTTTAATTTAAATAAAACTTATATTATAGGATTTGATATTTGTTTAAATATTCTAAGGCACTTTGTTTTGGGGCTTTATAATAATTAATATTTTCTTGGAGTGCTCAGCACAGTGTAGGAATGGGCTTGTAGGCCAAATCTTGCTTAGCTAAAAACTCCTGTTGACTCAAATAAAAGCTGACTTAAGCATTGGGCTAAAAAGTCCTTTTTGCTGCATGCACAAGACAAGGCAAGTGCCATCATTATTAAATAAAAACACTGTATAGTGTTCAGCTGACGTCCTGCTGGTTTGCATGTATGTATCCCTGTTGCTGGAGGAAGCAAAGGACTTCTTGAGCTAATCTTACGAGCATAGGAAGCTTCTCAGCCTGACAGCATTTCTTTCCTTCCTTTCAATTAACATTTTTATTTGGTTTTATTTTTTATTAAGTTTTATTTTTTGCTCAGGTCTTTACATGGTTACACCATGCATTCCCAGACAAGAAAATATGCAACTAATGCACTCTAAGCCATGGATTTTTGCACTCTTTGAGCAAGCATATTTCTTACTCAATCACTGGCAGGATCAGAGTCTTTCAAATGAATCCACTGATACTGCAGTTTTAAAACCATACATATTACTTCTTTAAGACAAGTGCTTAGGGTGTTTTGTTTCTTTTAATAGCATATTTGCTCCAATTTGCTGTTTCCATCATTTATTGTGAACCACGTCTTGAAAAGTTGTGCAGCCTTTCTGAATGTAAATTGAACGAATTCTGGATTCTGAATTATGAAAGCAGAAATCTTACTTAAGCTATTGTAGTTTTGATGGTGTAAGAAGTGCGTATTAGAGCTGATAAACACTTCAAGATTCAGCTCAGTATTTATGTGGAGATTATTTTATTGTTTCTCTTTCCCATGCAGGTTTATTGTGGATATCTGTTTCATATGTAATTCCCTAAAACACACTTTACATCACTTTGACTGGGTGAACTGCCTATATCTAGCTGTAAATTCAGGTCTTATCTTTGCAGTTATTTTATTGTGACTGCTAGATGCTAACTGAACGTAAGCATAATAACTGATTTTATGGTATTGATATTGTTATTTCTTACTTCTTTTAAAATAATCATGGAATTCAAAGAAAGTCCTTATCCAAGCATGATTTTCCCAACCCCAGCTGTTTGAAAAATTAAGTATGATAGATTTTATTTTGAACAGTGCCATCCTGAAATGTTGTGACATTCTTTTGTTCTAACTTCTTTTTAATTTTCTCCAGAGATCAAAAATAGCAGTGTATGAAAAGATGTGGACCTACATGAAATCAGCTGAGCCGTCAGTGTTCACTAGGACTACTGCAGAGGGAGTAGCTCGTGTCCGCAAATCCAAGGGCAAGTTTGCCTTCCTGCTGGAGTCCACCATGAATGAATACATTGAGCAACGAAAGCCATGTGACACCATGAAAGTGGGAGGAAATCTGGATTCGAAAGGCTATGGCGTAGCCACACCGAAGGGTTCTCCATTAAGGTGGGTGGAATAGTATAACAATATAAAATGTGTTGTTATAGTATTCCACCTTCCCTGATGTCCCTGATATAGCTCTTTTTGTTTTGTGTGTGAACATGGTATGTTATTTTTCTTTTCTTCCATTTCATATTTTTTTGATCAACAGAGGTAACCATTTCTAATTGCAATATGGATTTAGCAGCTATAGTTGGCACATCTTTCAAGGCCATATAAAAACCAAACTGGTTGAACACTAGCTACTTGAGGTCAGCCTCGATAGGATTAACGTCAACTATTCTATTTCATCAGCTTTTTTCACCAAATTCAACCCTCTATAGTAGTATTATGCCTACATTATCTGCATCAATATCTGCATCAATAATATGCCTACATTTTATGTTTTGTTTATTGATCTTGGCTGCTAATTTCTGAATAAGAAGCTGCTTGTAACATCTTTTTTTCAAATGTCATCACCTGGAGGCAATTAGGCCTTCATTAAAGCAACTTCATTAAAGTACTTTTTATTAAAGCACCTTCTTATTTAGGAAAAAAAAAAAAAAGTTTGTGTTTCTAGCATTATGCATTTCAGTACTGCCTTCAAACTCACCAATATTTTCTAACCATGATACCAGATGCATTCAGTCAAGTAGGAGAGTTTTTGATTCACAGGCAGAACATCATTTGCTTTTCGTTCAAATTGTCAGGGAAACAGAAGTGAAGGTACTAGTTCTGTGTTAAAATTGACAGTATTTACCATTATGTTGTCTTCAGTGTTTAAGGCAAACAAAACTTGCCTCTTTCCTCTGCTAGACTTGCCAGTTTTCTTCAAAGCAAAAGAGTAACTAGCAGATTGAGGGACTGTGGCCAGTGGAGTCTTATAGCAATAGGGCGCATGCGGGTAGGGGAGAGGGAATGGCCCACGGAGCAACCAGCAACCCACTTCTCAAATTTGTGCTCATGATAAGAGACTACAACAGGCTTTGATGAAATAGATTCACAAAGGAGATGAAGTGAGTTGAAGGGAGGAGCTGCAAGTGCAGATGGAGCCATAATTCTGTGCAGGAAATAACTAAGGAGGTACCTGTCTACATCTGTGACCGCAGAGGAGACATCATTAACCACTATGCAGATAACTTGACTCACTCTTAACTCACCAGTTTAACCTGCACATAATATCACAAACCTCAATAGCCTTAACTGTATTACATGGATGGGAATAGGAGTATCATCAGAACCATTTCCATCTCCAGCAAAAGAAGATTTGAATGTGCAGGGGAAAATCAGACCAGTTACTTTAGTGATTGAATATGAATTTTTGGTCCTTTGCTTTCAGTACCTCTCAGATTTAAAAACTGCCACCTTCACTGCTGAATAAAGTAGTAAGAGAACATAATGAGGTAAGAGAGGGAAAATAACAGTAAAAATATTAGCTATAAAGGAATACATATGCAGAACTCATGGGGTTGTTAAAGGTAGAAGGCAGCAGATAATAGGAGAAGCTGATCTATTATATGGGCATATTTTCAAAGCACTTATTTTTTATTTTTGATAGGTTGTTATCACCTCCTCAGTGTTTCAGACAACCTGGAAGTGGTAGGCAGCACTGCAATTTAGTGGAGCTGCTTTCCCATAGTAGGGAAATGCCCATTGCTGACACAGTCATGCTCTACCGTGCCAAAGCTAGGGCAAACTTTTTAGCAATCACTTTAGCTGCTGTGGCACCCTAGCAGTGGGCTGTCTGCTCTAAGCATGCTTTATGGTGCCTTTAGTCCCTCTCACTTTTTTCTGCAGAATATCCAACACCAACAACAAGAGGCAGCTTGTTACAATGAGCACTAGTAGCCACTGGAAGTTGATTTGTGTCAAATTTGGGCTTATTTCATTTTTTTTTCAGTTGGCTAGATAAAAATATCTAGGATTAATGGGGATGAGACATAAAGCAGTTAGAAGGAAGAGGACCTAGTAAGACAGTTTAATAAGAACAGAGAAGAAGAGCACAACCATGATTGTAAGGATCAGCTGTGAAATCCTGGTTCCATCCCAGCTGAAGATCAAGCTCCCATATGTTTCAGTGGGGCCACAGTTTGGTCTAACTGGAGGTTGGCAACTATCATTAGGGTGATGTGATCAAAAGCGTTTAGTTTTTCACATCCTGCCTTCAAACGTGTTTCAAAAAGGGAAATAGGGGAAATCCTACCCAACCTGAAAATTGGACCAAATCTTCTTTCAAGCTGTCTCGACTGGCTGTCCATGTCCATGCCTTTCCCAAGCCTTTCTTTCACATGTGCTAAGCTGCTTGTTCTCCTTCTGCACCCCATTCCCCCTCCAGCCCCAGTGACAAACCTCGGGCAACACATCAGTGCTGCTTAGCTATTAAAAACATTAAGCAATGTACTTAATGTTCTGGACAAAAATAAAGAACAAGCAATACCTCACATTCGTACCACCTCTTCCATGTATGTCTACAGACAGTAGCGCCTACTGAAGAGGGGAAAAGCTTCCTACCCGTGTGCTTGTGAGCAGAAAAGACTTAGCTGTAAATTTTAACTGCATGCTTCAGTATTTTCTGAATTGTTTGAAATTGTAGAATATGCTGGGTTTGCTATTTTGACTGCATCCCACATGGTAGTGTTTCTGTTACTGATCAGATGACTTACGTAATTGCTGCCTGCACAGATAATTGCAAATATTGAACATGCAGTTTGAAATCCATGAAGGACAGACTAGCTAAGCTCGTTACATAAATTAGTCAAAAGACATAATTTGCTTTGGGAGTTGTAAATTCTGTTTTTTATTTAATAATCATAATCTCCTATTTGAGTTATGTGTAGGCCACAAATTACTTGATGTAGTTCACAAATAATTGCAAGTAGCATATAAATGTTAAACATTCACACTCTATTCTTGGGCTGTTCAGGACTAAGGAAAATATCAATTTTTTTAAATGAATTATTTATAGCAAATTATTCAGTAAATTCTTTGAACACCTATTTCACTAGAGATACTTTAGTCTTAATCCTCCTCCTACTTACAATGATTATAAATCAGGAGGTTTTTTCACTGAAAATGTAGTAACAGCTGCATAAAATTGATGTGAGTGTATGGAGAACCAGACAATATATTTTCACACATCTAACACTGACAGAAAGTGGGGTGGTCTAAATCAGACTTCTTCCTGTAACATAGGACTAGCAATGGTTCCCTGCCATCACATCACCAGGCTCATCTTCATTATAGAGCACGTACCCATCATTTTGCTCATGCAGATGAAATCCATTGGTCAGAGCAATCCAGAGACTGCTCTCTCTGTTGCTCATGACCCTACACATGAGCAGGGTCATGGATTTTAATTTGTAACTCTTCCTTATTGGGTTCTATGCTACACTCCTGCAGTGTTCAACCAGTACCTATTGGCTAATTGGAATGATTTATTCTCAGTGCTGGTGCGGTATTAGGATTCATGCATATCACTGGATGGAGGAGAATGGGAAATACCTGATGTGTGTTTCTTTTATGCCCACCCGGCAGTACCACATTACACATCATGTGTGTCTCCTTCCTTCCTTCCTTTTCAGTGATATTCATTTCTATATAATGTTGTAAAAGGCTGACATATTTAAGAAGGACATGGGATTGAGGGCAAAGGCTCTCATCACAACAAAGATTGAGTTTCTGTCATGGCACTACCCAGCTGTCCTTACTGTTTCCTCCTCCTACCACGGTAGGTATCTTTCCAAAACTGCTGTGTAGTAATCAGTGTGAATTAATGCGTTTTTTTCTTCAAAGGTGGTGTTTTCAAAGGTGGTTAAGAGAGTGCTGCTTGTCTGCTTAGCAAGACCTGCCTTTGTAAATGTGTTGTTGTTAGAAGATGTTCTCATGGCCAGACTTCTGGCCATTGTGGATCACCCCTGGCACGTCTGCCTTGCCACTTGCAATAACATGTGTTTCTAGAGGGCAGCACCTCGAGATCTTGTATGACACAAGTCCTATGCCTTGCATGCCTCTGCTTTTCTGTTTTAGATATGTAGGCATCATAAACAAGTTTGAATAGTGATGAACATGAAAGAGTTCTCCACTCTAAGAAGTAATGGAAAAGGAAGTAGGGGCAATATTTTCTTAAAGGTACACTAAAAGCTTTTTCTACCTTTTGTACCTTGAAGCTGTTTGATGCAAAGGTGAATGACAGGTTGGGCTAAAAAATGAGGAGTTGTCATCATTGTTTCTGTGACTGTTTTAACTAAGGAGTTTTGGCTGTCCTGTCCTGCAGCTGACAGTATGCAGTGTGGATGAGTGAAACCTGCTCAGGTCATGAGTGTTTGGTGAGACACTTTTTGTCCAGCCAAATGAGTGTGGCAGGATTAGATCTAGCCAAATAATAAAAAACTGTTGTGCATATAAGTGTTGACGTATTTTAGAGACTGGTGATGGTTGTTCACCAACTTGATGAAATCCAGAGGTATATTAAGTTCCTGCTATTGCAATTACAGTTAATGTTTATAGATATGAATCTGGGATTCTATATTTCATTATTCAAGTCTCTATTCTTTTTAGGTAGTAAAGAAATAACTCCAGTTTGACTTTAGGAGGAATTCTTTATGTTCTGGAGAGGAAGGCAAAAACGTCCACATGGTGATATTTCCTGGTTCTTTGCAGTATGACAGCTGGTGACATGAACTGACACCTTACACCAACTAAGGTGCCAGTTCTTTATCCATTCTTTTCTGTAGTTGTATTAACATGAGATGGGAAAAGTGGGAAGTGCATCAGTGAAGCAGGTGATGCAGATGTAATTTTCTGATAATTCTATCAACTTGTGTGAAGTGCAAAGTGCAATATGAGTGAAGCTATGGGGTTTAGTTTCCATCCTTTGCAAGGGAGGAGTGCCCTGGAGAGAGCTTGGGGTGCAAAAGGCATCTCAACAGTGCCCTGTGAATTGTATGGATTCTCCTGCTTTATATAGTTGTGCAATACCTGAAAGAGATTTACCCTAGAAGTGAGAGATCTGTGGTGCAGGGAACTTT